TTGGGTTTTTTATTTCCACTGAAGTAATGTTTCAACTGTGAGTTGACAGTTCAATAGTAGAATGCTCACCAACTATACTGGAGGTCCGGATTAGATTCTCGGAGTACAAACTCCTAAAACCTTGCCCAATTTACTAGTCGATAGTAAGGCCTGAAAAAAGGGGATAGTTAAGCGTAAGGTCAGCAATCTTACCGTCCGTCATTACTGCAACTGTAACCTTATTTTCCATTCAAAGGAATGAAGAAAACGTTTTGCAGCTATGAGATTTTGTCCAAATGTATTTATTTTCTTAAATCGTTAATTTCTTTATTCCTACGAACTGTTTGAAATTCATATCAGACGTGAAGTGTTTTCAATTCTAAGATGGTCAGTGTCTTTTGCTTCAACGTGTGTTTTCTTTTCAGTTATATTATCACTTCAGTTTTTTGTGAGCATTCATGAGGAAAACAAACAGCAAATGAATTTTCAGAATTGTCCACCATACACTCAAATTGTTTGTGTACATGCATAATTGTGTAGAAGTAAAAAACACAAAATTAAAACGTATTAAAATTTTTGACTGAATTAAAAATTTTACTCACATTTCTGAACAGTTGTAACTGAAAATTACGAAAGTAAAACATTATCAATGAAATATTATTAAATTTAGATACATTTGTTTGTGCTTATCATTTGTGTTAATTTTTTCATAATTGTACAGCCCAGAGTTGTTCTCCAGCATTTATGTTCGTTTTTACGAGTTGATCACGGATTGATATCAGTTAGAGTACCATTGAAAACCAGTAGGGAGTACTGGACAGCTGTTTCCTCCGTCCTAGTTTGGGAATCATCGGCAGTACGCACCCACCACAGGGGGTTCGAACCCAGGACCTTCCGGTTACAAGGGAAGCTCGTATACCATTCAGCCACTGGGACCCGATTCAATGGCCAGCCCCTGAATTCTAACTTCTACCAATTCGCGATTTAGCGCGACCACCAACCAATGTCATCGGTGGGACATCCATCCTCACACTTGACTGGATGAACCTTACTGGTCACGACTTCTCACTAGAACTCCAGGAAACTCCGTCCTGTAGCAAGTTACTAGCGAGCATCAGATTAATTTTCTATCGTTCTGTCAATGGTTCTATAACTGATATCAATCCGTGATCAACTCGTAAAAACAAATATAATCCTTACAAACCAACGATAGAAAATTTAAGTTCGTATCTATGTAAGCTCGGAAACTAAGCGAAAAACAAAGTGATCTGATTCGTTCGGCAACAGAATCATTGAGGGATATCTTCAGTTAATTTAAAGCATAAGTACGCATAGTTCTGTATGTATGATTAATCCTTAATTAAGATGTATAACCCTGTCTCATATCTGATATCTTCAAATAATGTTATATGCTGAGTTGTCGAACACTGAATTACTGTTAATCCCTTTTATTGCAGCCAACCAGCTAGCACTCGTTTATTTTTCATGGTAATTATTGAATATTTAGAAGTTGGGTTTGTGTAGACTTCATAATTCCATTGTGCATTTCATTACGAACCGACTGAAGTCTAATGGTGGTCTGAATTAGTATTACATCATACTAGTTGGGATGTTCTGCCTCCTAATCTTTATTTTAAATTTATACTAAATATTTCAATGTCATTTTCCCCTATACGGTGTTTTCCTTCATTTTTATTTTCTTACTCACTTTTCTCTACTTAGATACTTTTAAGATTTTGCACACTATTTGACTTTTAAATGTGATCTCTAACCTCTAGTATATATTCTTTGTTTATAACTCAGTGATTTTGGATTCTCGTGTACCGTATGCCTTTAATTACATGTGATAATTTGTTAAGCCAGTTTCGACAATGTAAGAGATAAAGATCATCAGTGTGGTGAAGAAAAATTAACTTAAAGTGGAGGTTGACAGGCTGTGTAGAGAGATAGGCAGAAATTGTATTGTATATTTGTTATGGACCATTCGTCAATCGATATGATCTCTTCGACTGTTGATATGACCGAGTGAACTTATGCGTGGGTATAATAATACTGACGCAACGAACAACTCAACTGGTATGCTAAGTACACCTATTCGTCCGTGGTACCTTCTGCTTCACTGAGCTACGTAAATATCAGAAGACAAAGACTGGTCTGTGACAGTTGGGGAGAACATGTCATATTTAAATAATTTTTTACCACATTAAAAATAGGTCCAAGACAGTGAAAACAGATTGTTCTAATTGGTAGGCGGTTAGGCCAAGGTAGGCGAAAAATAAATATTCTGATTGGTCGATAATATGACCAAGACTAAGGTGAGAAAAAGATGATGAAATTTTACGGTCATCCGATCACACGATGAATCACATTGAGTCATAATATGATTACTGTTTTAAACTGATTCCTATAAATATTCAGAATATATCTAGCCTAAAAGGAACTCGATATGCGGTGATAAAATACCGAGGAAAAGTTGGCTTTGTTTTATGAATATAAAAAAGTAAGATACTTCAACACCCATCAGGTTTTATAAGTTCCTTTTTGTATCTTAACGCATTAGCGTGAACATCTAAACTTCAGCTTATATATGTCCGAACCAAGTTCACTTTTAACACTTTGAAAAAATTTGGGCATTGGGTATATGATATTCATTATAATAAAGGTTTTTGTATTTCCCAATGATTGAAAAACAAAACGATATTGTTTTTACTGACGTTTCGCTATTTAATCCTGCTAATAGCTTTATCAAAGTATTATTAAACCGGAATTTACAAAATCTCAGCATATATATATATATATAACAAAGAGTTAAGGGGTAAGAAAATAGACTTAGGTCAAGTTAAAAGGATATATTGAAAGTCAAAATAACAATGAAGATCACTAAACCAAATAACAAAGGTAATAGTACATCTGTTGTGGCATCAAAACAAAGTTTACTAACTTGATCATCGTTCGTTAGTCTGGGGTCGTTTTTCGTTGTCAAGTTGGTGAATTGGTAAAGATAACAAAACCAAGTGTAGATTGCTGGATTTGACCAGTGTTTAAAATAATAAAGGCAGTGTGTGTGTTTACATAGTGAACTCGCATATCACATTCATGTTGATTTTGTCACTTCATGGGGGAGGGAGGTGTTGTAACCAGGTCAGATTCTGTTTTACTCCATCATTCCTATTCAGGCAATTTGGATTCCACTTGATATGAAGTGCTTCTGATATTAGACGTTCTTTGTGATTTCTGAAGTTTCTCTGGATTATTTCAGTATTGTCAAAATCAATTTTGTGGCCTGATTCTATAGCATGTAGACCTATGGCTGATGACTTTTCAAGTTTTTCCAGTTCAACAGGATTTCTCGGTGGTCGAAGAGATGCTCTACGGTGTTCATTTCTTCTGATTTTGATTTCTTGAGATGTTTGTCCAATGTATATCGCATCACATCCCAAGCATTTTATTTTATAGACACAAGTAGATAGAGAATCTTTAGGGATTTGATCTTTTATATGGACAAGGTTGTTTCGTAGTGTATCGGATGTTTCGAACAAGACTCTAATGTCGAGCTGATTGAGTACTCTTCTGATACCATCTGACGTCTCTGCTCTATATGGAATGACGACTTTCGAGGTCCATGTTTTCGGAATGCGTTTTCGGCCATACTTAATATCTGTGTTGATTTTGTTGATGAAGTCCCTTGGGTAGTTGTTTTGCATCATTAAGAAATATGAAGTACAGAATATCCCTATCATCTTCAGTATTGTTAACCCCAAGTCATGTGAAATTATGATCACATCTCTTAGGCTTTTCACAGGTCACATTAGTCTATAGATATTATATTCCATATAGTTCAGAAGAATGCATCAAAATTCATGAATGCCATTCACAGCAAAGATTTCTGTTTAATGGTTCTTTATTTAACTATTTATCCATTTTATTTTGTTATTTAATTCTTTTGTGTTCCATTTCGAACATAGGGCTTCGAGCTTTGATATTTGAAGCTTCAGAAGCGGTAGTATTTAATTTTATAGGGTTAGGTTGTAAACCTCACGCTCAGCTTATCATTTTATTCGGGCTTACTACCTACCAGCTAGTAAATTGGGAGAGGTTTAGGAATGCATCCGCCGACAGTCTAACTGGAACCTTCAGAGTAGTTGTCGAGCATTCTATCATTAAACCACTAACGCGCGCTTTTTGTTCCAGTTATTCTAGACTTTAGTGACCCATATACTCTTGAAACTGTTTCTATTTCATGACTAAGGCTAAATCACGTGATGGAAACCGTTATCATAATAAAACTGATACATTTTCCTTTTATTAACGAAATATCACGCTTCAAGGTGAGTAAGATATGAAAAAAGAAGACTATAAATTGACCAATTCAAACCAACGATGAATTCGATGTCAAGAAAACTATAACATCATGAATTTAAGGCAGTTACTGTTTCACTAGGCGTTGGTGATTTAGAGGTAGAATGCTTACCAACCACGCTTGTGGTCCGGGATTCTGTCCCCAACCGATGCACTCCCTTACCTCTCTAAGCCGGTGACAAGACCAGTTAAATTTCGCCTATTACTCAGTATATGTTGCTGTGCGACTGATTTCCATGATACTTTTTTGAATAGTATTATTGTTGTTACAAGAAGACTGGTAAAGAGGGAAGGTTGGGCATGAGGCTAGCAACGCCCCACCCCCGTAAAAATAAGCACCAATGCTACCGAAACTTCAAGCCTGTAGCTTGATCCACTGGGATTGTAAAGGAATAATAAAAAAATAAACATTTTCACTATTTTATGTTGTAAGAATTTGTATTACTCAATCAATAAAATTTATTACATGATATTAGTGATCTTTTATAGATTGTGTGCATTCATCTCTTTTCTTAGTTGAAGAAGTTACAATGATTATACCTGTTTTACTTTTAATTTACATACTTTTCAAATAACTGACCATTTGTACACTATTTATACACAAAAAGAATTCATCGTTTTACTAATATGTTGCGTTCATCCTTTTGTTTATATATATACAGGAGGGAAAGATGGCGTTGTCAATCCTATGGTTCATAATATGGCCCCAGCGTATGAAGCTGCAAACCATGATCTTGTTTGGGTCAGTACAAGTCGTGTAAAAGGTAAGTTTCCAATACATTTATACATATATTTATTCTTCTGTGTATTTAAAGTGTTGAAATAGTTGGTTTATTATTATTTTGAGCACTTATTTCATAAAATTTCATTTTCTTGAATCTAGGATAAATATCATCAACAATTTGACAATCACTACGCTTTACATATCATTGTAGAACATAGTGGATAAATAACTAATTGTTTGGTTACAGGATTTCATCATGAGCTGACATCGGTTAGAGAACCATTGGAAAACCAGCTGGGAGTAATGGACATCTGTTTCCTCCGTCCTAGTTTGAAACTCTTCAGAAGTACTCGTCCACCGGGGTTTGAACCCAGGACCTTCTGGTTACAAGGCGAGCTCATTAATCCACTGGGACTCCATCCAGTGGCCCATAAATTCCAACTTCTGCCTATTCACGACATAGTGCGACCACTAGCCAATTTCTTCTGCGAGTATTTGTCCTCACACCGACCTGCTGCACCCTACAGTGGCTTAATGGTCTACGAGCTAGCTTGCCTTGTAACCAGAAGGTTCTGAGTTCGAACCCTGATGGTGGGTGCGTGCTGCTAAAGAGTCCCAAACTAGGACGGAGGAAACAGCTGTCCAGTACTCCCAGGTTTTCCAATGGTTCTCTAATTGATGTCAGCTCATGGTGAAATCCTGTAACTAATCAATCGAATCCCTACAAACTAATACTTGAAAAACTAATTGTTTAGTGGGAAACTGATTAGAATGAAGACAGTTTTTGCTACAGACAAATGGAAGTTAAAATCCCCTTGAAGGATATTTCCTACAAGATATTTAAATCTATTAATAAAATGGTAAATTATGACTTATAAGTTAGTTGTTTAGAAGAAATAACATAACTGCCTTGATACTGCACTTAATATGTTAGTAATCAATTATGCAAAATGATAAAACGAGAGCAAACCAAACAGGTAGGAAAAGTGGTTCATGCCATAAGCGAACAATAATCCATCTTATGTTTAGAGGGGGGCGTCGTTGGGATCAGTGGTAGAATACTCACCAACCACTTACTTAGTCTGTGTTCATCTCCCAGTCAACGCACTAGAAACCCCACTCCGTAAAAACGACACTACTGAAACTTCTCAGTTCAAGCTTGAAGGCCCATGTTCTACTCCAAATAATGAAAAAAAGTATTCAGAGTTAATACAGTCGTAATAAATAAAAGGAACTTCTTAAACATACTATAAAGGCGCTGTACAATCGGAATACTATGATACAGAAAGAATGTTGAATGAATTTAGAAGTAAAGAATCATTTTTCGGCTATTTCTGACAGATAGCGTATCTAATGAGTTTGCAGCTTGAGCAAACAACTGTATTTCGATGTTATGTAGGAAACATTTGAAAACAGTACTTTGTACACGAACAGTGAAGTGTATCGAAAACTTCACACAGTCGGAAGCATTGAAAAAAGATGTTAAAAATCTTAGATTTTGTAAAATTAAAGTACTCAATAGCTAATTCCACAATGTGGGCAGCTGAGAAGTAAAAACCGCCCACACGGTTCCGAAAGCACAAAAATCTCTCCTGATCATAACTCACCTTTACCTACGTCACAGTCATCTTGCTTTGACAAATCGGATAACAGGCATCACTAGCCAGGACTCTGGCATCTCAAACTATGGATAGATTTTGTGTTTCACAGGCACGAATGCGTGACACAGGTGTGGTTGTTCACTTAACCCCACTTAGCCAACAGGGTGAATCTACTGAATTCACCTTACTGGTTTCAGGGGATTCTTCGGTTGGTTCATGTGGACTCGCAGGTGTAGACATAGTGTTGAGCAATTGGGCGGAAAAATTCCTACTTGACAGGATCCCAATGGATAGTCGCATGTGTTCTGTCTGTCTGAACGATTCTGTTAAAAGGCACAAGAACTACTCTCCCTCTATAAAAATAAAGTAAATTAAGTTACGTGTTAGAAAAGGTGGGTAGATTCTTTCATGATCACCTCTGTATGATGTCATTTTTATACTGAGAATAGTTATACTACATCAGTATTATATGACACGTGGATTATGTTCAGCCGTTTGCTTGAGAAGTTTGATGTGACAATAAAGCTAGTAAAGCGAAGCCATACTTGACTGCATTTAATGTTCAATCATTTGTAAAATTAGATAAAACAATAGACACATTTTCCACCTGAACAGTTGGTTAGTATAGATCGAAACTTTATTATGCATCATTTACGACCATAAAATTCTATGAATAATTTAAAAAAACTTTGCCATTGAATGGTTCAATTAGCATACAACTATAATAAAATAAACTGTACACCCACTAGTGAATGTAGCAATGGACAAATTCTGCACAATTCTGTGCATCGGAAGGAATTTTTCATCTCAATAGGGGTTATTTCAGTCTTAAAACTGCCTGTTTAAAGTCTTGATATTCTTAAGGCGCATGAAATTTCCCAAGCTTTCAGGTATGCTCCCCGGCTAAACCATGCAGTGGCACACTTGCATTCATCCTTATTCTTCACTTGTTTCTAAATGTTTAATACTTGAGGTGTTGCATTGTTTATCTTAAAAACTGTCGACGTCATATATTCAGCAGTGACGACTAGGTGACATGATACAAACTATCATACAGTATTATATATATATCATTCCTCTCTTGGGTCCTAAGTGAGACCTAGGGTTTTTTCAAGTATTGGTTTTTGTAGGGATTTTGTTTGATTACATGGAGGATTTCATCATGAGCTGACATCAGTTAGAGAACCACTGGAAAACCTGGGAGTACTGGACAGCTGTTTCATCAGCCTAGTTCGTGACTTGTCAACAGTACGCACCCACCACCGGGGTTCGAACCCAGGACCTTCCGGTTACAAGGCAAGCTCGTATACTACTCCACTGAACATAAACAGTAAGCAGGTTAGTATTATTATCTCATAGTACCGAGGGTCAAAAGATAAATCGAGAAAATTTTGATTTTCATAAAATAAGACAAAATAACCATTACAGCATATTAGCTGTAAACTCATAAGCAGTCACGTTTAAGAGTTAACAGATAATTTAGCCAACGAATGAATAGTTGATAAAGAAACAGCATTTAATCTTAAATTATTATTATTATTGTGACTATCACCACGTGTTTTTCATCTCAAACTATACATAATGGAAATAAACCAGTAGGGTACAGCAGGTTGAAGATGAGGCAGTAACTCATCGAAGAAGACATTGCGAAATGGTCGCGCTATGTCGTGAATTGGCAGAAGTTAGAATTCAAGGACTCATTGGATCGGGTCCCAGTGGCTCAATGGTCTGCGAGCTCGCCTTGTAACCAGAAGGTCCTGGGTTCGAACCCCAGTAGGTGCGTACTGATGGAGAGTCCCAAACTAGGATGGAGGAAACAGCTGTCCAGTACTCCCAGGTTTTCCAGTGGTTCTCTAACCGATGTCAGCTCATGATGAAATCCTCCATGCAACCTAGGGTTTTTATCATATTTATTCACAAAGTTTAGTACAAGAAGAATAAAACTTGTGCACTGTGGTAGAGTGTAATTCCATCAAAACAAAATTTACCCATAATGGAATTTAGTACAAGAAATTGACTATCTCATAGAAGTACTGAATTATCTAAGTAAAATCTCGTTAACAGTTACATAAGTTCACTTAATTTGACTCTATTGTTATATATATTGAACAGTGCGATTCCAGTGACAATAAACGAAAAATTTTGATATCAAATACGAACTGTTAAATAAAATAATGATTTATTTCGTTAATTCAAATATCGCAAATAATTTCCGCACTTTGAAATTCGGTGCACTAATTTATAGTGCGTCCGGTAGTTCAGTGATAGAATGCTCTCCAACCTTAAGGGAAGCCCGGTTTCAATTTCTCATTGACTCACTCCTATAACTTGTTTAGTCGGTAGAAAGCCATCGAAAGAGATATGTTAGCAATTTCACCCCTTAAACGCAAAAGCCATCATGGTTTTACACTTGTGACTTATTTATTGCATAACTGTATTGATTACCGAAAAAATCTTCGACTTCTGTTGACTGATTATAAACCAAGGCAGTCGGAAGCACTTCACGTGTCAGTGAATTAAAACACAACGTATCTAAATTCATGATGTCACATAATAAAGTCACAAGTCCTTTTTAAAGTCTTTCAACGAAAGGTACTATTTTCGAGCTTTCATGGCCGCTAAACAGTGTGTTTCCTGATGATGCTGACAAACATTTTCACACACTTAGGTTGCGTGGTACTGTGAGTGCTAATGTCAAATCCGTTGTGGATGACATGATACTAAATTTCCGCATAGATGATCAAGGTAAAGTTCTGAACACCAAATATTCTAAGGATGATGGAGTCATGACCAAAATGATCAGTTTGTTGACTTCTTAAATTTTAAGGATAACTATCCCATTGGTCCTCAGTATTCTCAAATTTGCAAGAGTAAATCTGTGTCACTTTTGAGATTTGTGTGGTGTTCAAACCATGAGATTCTTTTCATCACTAATGAGAATATTCAGTTATATCAGGTCTTGATTGACAGAAATTCTGTTCGTTTCAACGAATTCTTAATTTTGAACACGGATTGGTTTCTGCGGAACTCGATATTCACATTAGTTTCACTTGTCGTCCAGAACGAATGCTGCATGTTTTTCACTTAAATACACCGACTACGATCTAGGGAGCACTGAAGTTTCATTCGCCTACATCCACAGACTCAAACTCCACTCCTGTAGCAATAGAACGAAAGCACTCCATTTTAGCTCTCTTATATGATAATTTGTAATTCTGTATTGTTTGTTACATCATTCAATATGAGGGGTTAAGTCTCAGTCAAACTGTGTTCACAAAATCAAAACTGATGATCCTGTCGTCTTGGTGCATGTTTTAATTTTGGATTCAGATGATACTGTTTCATTTAGTTTACTGGATAACTGATATATGGTGCAGTAATTGTATTGTTTAATATTAGCTTATGATGACCAGTGTTATTTACAGTGACTATAATAGCGATATCATAAACTAAAGTAACCTTATTTCTTTGACAGTACATCATCGCTACTGAACCTTTAAGAGCTTGAAACCCCCTGTATTGCATTCCAAACACAAAGGATATGACAGAAAATAAGGCGTAAATTTACATTACATGACAGTATTGAAACCTGACTGTTAGGCTATAAGAATGATTAGGATGTGCCGTAACAGATAGACTCAAACCAGGACCAAAGAGATGTTCAATGCTCTGTGTTCGTCAAAGGTTCTTTGACTGATATCAATTTGTGATGAAATGAAAATTCAAGACTAGGAAAATAACTACTTCACTTTATAGGCTAGCTAAACATGGAGTCCTTGGCTGGGAAGTTTTTGTGAAACCCATCGGTTATCAGATTTAACGGCAAATATTGTATACTGATAGGAGTCAAGTGGTGTGACGTGTTTTACTGACAAGATTTATCAATATATTAGGCGCAGATTGACAGAAAGCAGGCGAAATCGAAAAACAGAATTTTAGGTCAATGCATGCAAAGGTAGAAGTGTTTATTCCTCAAATCTGGATTTAGTTGTCATCGTGACCAGGTAATAATCTCATTGGACAACTTTTGTTCAAGGTTTAACCCTCGAGAAATCGACAACCAATGAGAACAGTTTGTTATCCGCTTAAAACCGTGCAAATATGGTGTGTTTTTCCTCAATAAAAGAAGTCCGTTGTCAAGTCTCTTGTCATCTTCCATTACAGTGGTACTTTAATTCATGAATCCTTAGTGTTAGATTCAAGAATCCTTTTTTAATTCTTCTAAAGTGCTATCATCATTTTGCCGGAGAGTCTACTATCTTTATGAATCGTATTTAACCGGTCTGAATGAAGTGAAACAACGTTTAAAGTCAAAATGAAACAAAAATACCTTTCTTTTAAGCATTAAGGCCAACTGATGCTAAATTGTACATCTATTAGTTTGTGTAAATAACTCTATAAGTTACTCAGTTGATCACATAAAATCAGAATAAAATGTATATTGTTAATTTATTCAGTTACTCTAAGATGTATCTATCCAAAAGTTAGCATAAGTGGGTCGTATTGTAAATCAATAAACTAGTAAATACTTTTTTTAAAAAGCTTATTCATCATATGCACAAGTTTTATTTTCTATTTGTTTTGTACCAACGATAATATAAACTTGAACTTATAGCTGTTTAGTTTTACATATTTAAAGATTATTCACTGTATATGATGGAGTTTTAAATTAGTTTAGTTTCATTTGTTAGATTTCGTCACAAACCAATACCGGTTAAGAGGTCATTGAATACCAGGGAGCATTGGACTGCTGTTTTGTTCTAGTCTTGGACTTTTCTTCAGTGCGTACTTACGACTGGACTAGAGACCGAGCCGTGAACCTCCAGGTTACAAGACCAAGCTGGTGTACCATTCAGTCACTTGGGCGGGAATTCAATCCCACAAATACCAGATCTCATCCGTTTCCAGCTCATTCATGGTTACTGGATGAATATGATGAAGCTGTAATGAGAAATTGTGACCAGTAAGGTCTACCATGTCTAGGTAGGACGGATGCTTATCGAAGACATTGGTTAGAGTAGCGTTTTATTAGGAGTTGACTGAGTTAGAATTCATGGGTTATTGAACTCCGTCCCACATGGCTCAACCACCAACAAGCTTGTTCTCATAACCTTAAGATCCCTAGCAGTGCAGTGGGTGTGCACTGATGAAGAGTTCCAAAATAGGACGAAACAGCTGTCCAATGCTTCCTGGTTTTTTACGACCTTTTAAGTGATGTTTTTTCTTGATGAAATTTAATAATTGAAATTAAATTAATCCAAATCCATACAAATTCCATAATTCAAATTAATTTGTTAGTTTTTATGCACGTGAATAAAAAGTCGGATGTTTGAAGCAGGTAGAAAGAATATTCATTCCAAATTCTTGATTAAAACAAGATATCATGATGTCCATTTTAGCACTGTATCAATTAAAGTTTGAGTTTCAATTCTAAAACTAAGCATCCTTGCCATTAGTATTGGGAAGATAGAATAATAATATTCGGGAATCATGGTCTTCAAAATGAATTTGAAACTACATGTAAATGTTTGCGATGTCATTAATTAATTAATCAATTAATTCATTGATAATAGGAGAACACACATAAGTAGTAGTTGTAACAGTGGCTAAATCAACAGATTTCTTAGTGAAGCAATCTCTGATGCACATACACTATACTGTTAGTTCAGTGAGTTGGTGGCACAGCGGTTGAATGCTTACTGACCATGCATGTAGTCCGAGGTTCAATTCCCGGTCGACTCACTCCTTTACCTCGCTAAGCCAGTTATAAGACTGGTGAGGAGGGGAGATTGGATATACGGCTAGCAACCCAATTCCTTAAAAATAAACAGCAATGCTACCGAAACTTCAAGCCTCTAGCTTGAAGCTCTATGTTCCACAGCGGGAACGTAAAGGAATAAAAAATCCGTTATTGCAGTTTGTGTGTTAAATTAAATAGCAAAACTCAGAAAACGTCAAAATGTTTTATGTAGTAAATATCATTATTATTGTTTCCTTTAGTTCTAAGAGGAACATAGGGCTTCAGCCACACGTCTCCATTTCGTTTGGTTCTTCGCCAACGTTCTCACCTGGCTCCACGTTTGCCCATATGCTTTCATCTCCTCTTTGTATGACCTTCTCCATGTTACCCTCGGACGACCAACTCGCCGCTTACCATTCGGGTTCCACTTGAGAGCTCTAACCATTATATGTAGGGTGATTATGCTACTTGGTCGTCTAAATCTAACTACTTAAGGGCAAACTTAAACTAGCGTTCATTAGTTGAAAATCAACTAGCCTTGTCATCAATTCGTAGAAATACTTTATTGTCAGATGTCAAAAAAATCTATTAAAAGATCAAAAGTATTCATTGATGGATGAAGAAAAGAAGGGACAATTTGATGGCGGAGTTGTTTTGGGAGGTTGTCGAGTTGTCTTCATATTTACTGGAACATATGGTTTGTTAATGAATAATAAGGAGGAGCCTTGTCGTTTATAGAGTTACCCAGAATTAGCTTCTAGGGGTAGGGAAAATAAAACTACATAATAATGAACAGGACAGTAAAAGCAAGGGTTTAAAATCTCACGAAATGAAAATATTATTATATGAAAGGCTAGCTGATTGAGCGTCTGCTTGATAATTGTAAAGAAAGTGAAAATGGAAAGCGACATGCACTAAAGAAATGTCTTACACGTTGATTATTCACTAAAAATACAATCGAACTAGTAAGAACGAGTTCGAAATCAAGGTGAAGTGAGATACCGAACGAAATGTTTCTGCATTCACGGTGCTTGAATTGACGAATTGCTGATACTTTCACCGTGGACATGTGTTGGAGTCTAATGCCACCTGTCCTATTCAGTCCTACTTTGTGACTAATTCTGATGAACGAGTTTGGCGGAGTTGCGTAACCCTAATTCATTAGATACTAAAGAATTGAGCTATGTGGGTTAATTTACTGAGATCCACTTGGGAAGTGCGCGTTTTGTACTCAGGAGAAAGTGATTTTTTAAACATATAATGACTGTTAAGAAATTCTTATTCGCACTTAGAAATACATAGAGTTTATTCATTTTAAAGTTACGGCGTTGATACTCAGCGAATCCACTCAGATGTAACCTGTTAACTTACAAAACGTTTCAGCCAATATCTACGTATTAGCACTAAAACCTAAAACGTCAACCAATTTACGATTTCTTGAGAATCATCCTTAAAAAATCTAAAATTCGAAGTGTATGATTAAGAAAAGTAACTAATTAGCCTAATAACGACATTTTCATCATTCGTTATTGCAATATGATGAACGGTAAGTAAAAATGGAACCAGGAATCCCTACAGACAGACTTTTTTACTACGACATTTTCCACCACATGTGTAGCCAAGTTTAATAAACTGGGTATTTTTATGTTCATTTTATGCAGTCTATCCAGAAAGCTTTCGTGATACAATTTTCACTGGATAGATTTTGTAGGATAATAATGCAAACATCTTGATTACACTGTGTAACCCAAGAAACATCATGCTGCTGGCCTAGAAAGGTACAAAAGTGCGTCAGTCGGGGATCAAACCCCAGGCTACATGCGTGGTTGGCGAGCATCCTACCGCTGTGTCACCGACTCATTGTTCAGTATTTTGGTATGCACAGATTCATACATAAGTTTTATTCGGGATTAAAAACTACTGCCACAAGTCAACCATTGTACAATTAAAACAGATTTTTCCTCTTAATACTGAAATCAAACCAATTTATTTTCCTACTAATATCCATTTTCATCTCTGAAAATCACTTTTGAGTAAATATTTTACATTTATAACGATAATAACCATTTTTATGGATTTAGTTTATAATTTGTTAAATTTTACATTTAAAATATTGACAGCCTCCACAGAAGTTATTTGGGATTTTGTTGACAAAGCTAGTGATCCATCAGTTGCTATTGTTCATCAATTGCCATTTTTCTCTGATCATCCCGGTTTTGTAGCTGCTATAGAAAAGGTAATTCAATTGGTACTTTTATGAAAAAGCTGTAAATTTGTGTAACAGTATTTCTGTATAAAGAGCTAATTCATATATGTTTTTACATTTGCTGGTATTGAGTACTATTAGAATCAATGTGTTACTTTCCTCAGGAGTTGCATCTCGCTTTAAAAAGTCTTTTGAAAGCATGAGTAGAAATAGTGTAACAAAAACATTCATTACATAATTCTCGACACTTTCAAATGATAAATTTAATTTTTAAATTTGAAATGAACTTGATTATTTGTGTGCTTTAGTGGGACTTTAGTTCAAAACCTATAGTCTTGGAAACGAAGGTTATTTTAATTTCTATAAAATAATAGTTGAAGACGATCTTAACGAAAAACGGCTACAATCTATGAGATCTTTGACTGTTGGTTTGAGTCACGTCGGGTAGTACAGCCTGCTTGGCTGGGGTCATCACGATGCTGAGAACTAATGGCTAGAAACTGTTGGACCGAAATAGTCAGTGTCCGTTGACATGCCCACTCCTAGTACGGAGGTTTCCATGACGTATAAGGATGACCGTGAAGTTTTTTTTCTTGGTAACTAGCAATGGAATCCGTGATGTTAGCCGGATGTACCTCAAGTGCTAGCCCTTACAGATGGGTGCATGGTTCAAGTCTCAGTGGCAATACCATCACTCACTGGAATGTAGGTACATTCAGATGATGACGAGTCCCAAGAGGGACGAAGTGCGCATCATGGATTCTGCTGCTAATCGCCACAAATAAAAATGACCCGAAATCTTACACAATGTCGCAGATGTATTCACTCTTTATGAACTCATAGATTTATTGAATTCTCACATTCTCTTTGTAATTATTTTTTATCCTCTACTTTTCCGTTAGTTATACTTTCTCTGCACATTTTCTTTACCTTTGTGTTTACTTTTATGAAGTGTGGCTGAAATGAGAGGCTGCACTTCTGTGCTGACTTCTACACTGATAATTCAGTTCAGTTCATTCATCCTTTTATGCCTCATTTGAATGGAATATCATGGACCATTTTATTAGGATATTTTCTTAGGCCATCTATATGTCTGCACTGAAGTTTCAACACAAAGTGTCTCTGACTCTTCGTCACCAATGATTTAAAAAGACTAACTTTTATAAATAAAAAAAAACAGTGAAACCTGATAATAATCATTACTGATTACCTTCACTTGCTTTAAGCAGTCTAGCGATGATGGTTTCTAGTGGGTGAAACTACTAACGGGCATTATTTATAACATGAAATGCATCTAAAGAGAAGCTAACTTCCAGATAATCCTTTACTGATGAATTCCACTAAAAAATATTTAATAGAGACTGTGAATATACCTTCTTTTTAATTACCAGCAAGAATCTGTGAAAGCCATTTGAATAATTAAAACTTCTTAGTTTTTGTTGACGCTAGGACATGTATTCAAAGGACAACGGAATTTCGGCATAACAACATGATTTACTTTGAAAGCAAAACTATTGCTACCCAAGTACTAAGAGATTTCTTTGAAATATTGAAATATTATTGATCCTACAGTTAACTCAGATGATTTGAAATGACGTGCAGCTTGATCATCATCATAAATAAACAATCATAAGATCGTGTTCATGTGTTTTCAGTACTTTCTATAAGAATACAAGAAAAAACAGTCCATTGAAGAGTTTCTTTTTAACTAATTTATTCACTCAACTGCACAATCGCAGTTATATATAATTAATTTTCGTATGTCTGTGTACATTAGGTTTGTTAGACAAGAATTAAAAAATTGTTTGGGTTATTGTTTACTGAAAAACAATGGGCGGCATGAGAATACCCGGCCGTAATGTAGCAGCATAGAATGTTTTATTTCAGGTCTTTAGATATTTTCTTCTTTAGGATGTCGACCAGAATGTCGTCTTTGAACACCACATTCATATATAGCATCTTCTTCGGCAAAGAGATGGGGTGTTCTTTATTGGTTTTAAGCTTCATGTGTTTATCTATAAAACGTGAGGGATAGGCGTTCTCAGGTAGTGTCCTCCTCAAGAGAGTGATCTCTTGTTCTAATGATTCGGGGCTGTAGATTCCCCAGATTCTAGTCGCAAGAGATATTATCAGGCTCGGCTTGCGACTGGTGGGTAAAGGTTTGTTAGCTGGTTGTTCCACGAAGGCTTTCTATATACTGATCTGCTCAAAGTCCTATCAGCCTTCTTTGTAAGTTGAACGTCCAGAAAGGAGGTTGTCTATCCGGTTTCTACTTCAGTTTTAAATTTGATAGCTGGGTGGCAGCTATTAAAAACTTGGAGGACATAGCCACACCATCTTTCTGTCTGTAAATAACACCATTCAATGTGAATTGAACTTTTAAAGGGCATCTAAGTAGAAGTCCTTTTGACTTGGGTGTGGGTATTCCAATATTCAGGTCGTTGTCTTCCAAGTACTTGCATGAGAAACAAATCGTTTCCGTAATCGGGATATTTGTGAAGAGAGATTCGATATCGAGGGATATCATGCAGTTGTCACAATTGGATGGTATGTGGATCCGGATATTTCCAAAGTAGTGCACAACGAAAGTTCGTGTTTGTGAGTTTTCGGTAATTCGTATAGTCGGGGCATTACTGAACCGGTTGGCCAAATGATCTTGTAGACATTTTCGGAGATAACTTGATCACTATTTAGCTTTCTCAATATTCCAATAATTTGCATTTCTGTTATTTCTGGTTTGTCTCTCTCTTTGTCAGATGCAACGAACTTGTTGTCTGGAAGAAGTGCCAACATTTAACAGTATAGTCTTTTCTGTTCATTGTGACTATTCCAGTAACTTTATCAGCGCGTGTGATCAGCAATTTTATGTTACGTCTAAGTTGGTTGAGTTGCCCTGTTTTCTTTAGTCAAAAGATTATTGCAGTTAGACTTTGTGTTGAGGTACTGATGACATGGGTCTAGAGTAGTTGACTTCTTAGAACGTTAGAACTGGAAAGAGACTAGTTTTATTTGATCGCATTTTCACACTCAGCATGTGTATGGAGCTTGAAAATGCTTGTGTTCATGTCGCAGAATTTTGGCCCAACTGACATGGCCTCCAATTGTGCAGGTTATAAAGTTCCTGAAGAATGATTGGACACAAATGTAGCAGGATCTTCTGGAAATTTGTGTCGTTTGTACTGGCTTTTAGACTTGTTAACAGGTCTGAATGGATAACTTTTGTGAGCTTCTGCGTAACGCTACTGACATAATAGTTGAAAGCCTACCGATCGTCACATGACAACTCTTATAATACAGAGAACTGTTATGCTGTATTTCTTTACATTTCTAAGGCATGTGAAAGGATGGAATCAATGTGGTTGAGGTTTGGAGTTAGGATAAACAGGATTGCGATGAAGAGCTTTCCATATATCACTTCGGATATCTATGGTTATTTATACAGTCTCTTAGAAGACTGATCTCCTCATTCACACCAGTAAGCTTGGTAGAATACCTTAGAAACCCATTGAATTCTTTCACTGTCAAAGGGTGCTTGCTAATTTTTAATTCACAAAAAAATACCTATCCAGACATGAATGTAAGAATAAACAGTTCAGCGAAGAGTCTCTTTTCGGCAAATTCAAGTCAGCACTTACTAATCTTCATCCCCACGCCCTATTTACAATTTGATTATTCATCACATTTTCTGAAATATTTTGATGACGTAAACAATAACCCTAACTAATTTTTATTCTTTTTTGACAAACTTAATGTACAAAAATTAATTATATATAACTGCAATTGTGCAGTTGAGTGAATAAATTAGTTGAAAAGAGACTCTTCGATGAACTGTTTGTTCTTTGTATAATAGATTTAAAAAATTTCAATCGCGTAATTTCTATCTGCTTCAGTAGAACGGAGTGTTTTCTTGTATTCGTGATTAAGAGATTACACCGGTTTTCGTATATTGAATGAAATCCTAAACAATCAGGTGGGCAATCATTGGTGAAAAATATCGCAAACATAGAGACACCTATTACATATCTACCTACATGTATTTATAGACATTCAGAATCTGAACTCATTTGATTGTTTTCATTTAGAAACGTTTTCAAATGAACTAGGTGATATTGTAGTTATTTTGAGGTAGTGATTGTGAAAATATCTAGTTGTACCATCAAAATATTGAATCTTGTTTTTAGTTGCTTCGCTTTAAGTAAGCAAGATGCAACTTATGTGGTTAGACATAGCCTTTTCATGACTTACTCATTATGTCACATCAGAGATAAGTATCAAAATTTGATTGTCAATCAATGATCACTTGTTAAACTTGAACTCGAGTTAAATAGCTAAACAATCTATCCTAATTTTGGAAGGGACATCCGGCTATCAACCAAGGGACGTATGTACTTCTCAGCAGTTCGCTCCCTCCTTCTCTATTTCCTCCCTCACTTATTTTCTTGTCTACCTTTGTGTGCTATTTGGAACGTGGCAACTCGAACTGCTGCACTTCGGTACCAAGTTCTATGTTGAATCCAGACAGAATTTTGGAAGGTATTAAGGGCTAGTCAGCATGAAGATATGAAGATGAGTTCTGTCCTTTTTTCACATATAAGCAAGATACATGTGTGACTTCTTATGACCTCGTCTTTTCTCAGAGATCAGAAATCATGATGGTCACATTCAGTGATGCAGCTTCGTTGCAGTTGGTCCTGAACATAGTGCTGATTAGGCAGTCTTGGAGAACATTGTTGTTTAACTTCTTAGAATAAGGTCTACTGGCCAGTGAATGAAAATAGAGATTTGTTTTACTAATTAATATGTTAATTGTAAAGTGTTTAGGTAAATAAGACACATACACTGTATAAATGTAGTCTCAGTTTCTTCTACTTCCAATATCACAGAAGTATCACTTGACATGTAGTAGACTGATATGCTTAAATCGCCTTAGTTTTCCAAAGTTTAGTGCTCTTGATACCTGAGTATGTATTCATTTCTTTTATCAATAACAAAATGACTCAATAAATAATTGTCTTTGTTAATTAGAACAT